CCCCAGTTCAGATGAACTGTGGCCCCATTCAGATTACATGATTGAGGGTACCATACAGTAAATTATTGGACATGTTCAAGAAGTTCTTTAACTGAACTAAGTGAGAACGAGATTTTATTAATGAAGTATTAAGGAAAATTTATTGGGGATTTGAGAATTTATTTTCTTGTTTCAAGATCAATTATTTCAATACTATTTTAATTATTAGAATTAAAAATATATTCTATATTCGAACATCTTTTTAAATCTTATGAAGTTAATTCTGAAAAATATATAATTCCAATAATCGGATGGCCGAATTTAGAAAACATTAATACTCGTATTGTTCAAAGTTGTAGGATATAGCCCTAACTTTTACTTGACTCGATCCTCAAGCACCGTGGATGATCTCAACCTGATCACGATATAAATACTAGTAGTGTAAAGATAAGTTTTGAGAAATCTAAAAAACCACTTTTTTCTGTGTTTAAAAATGGCTGCTTGGTTTTATTTGCTGAAAACAAAAAACAAAAACGAGTTTTCATATCTTGTTTTCAGTTTTTTAAAACCACAAATATTTTGATTCTCCCGTATTTGGAGAGTAGATATTCTTTGTTGATTTTTGGATTCATCGATGTGAAGCTGGTGGGACAAATGCTCTTCATTAAAGTCATTGGGAATTTCTGGGCCAAAGCTAACCCGGGTTGGAGCAATCAGAGAAGGTAACGCAGGCTTGATTAGCAAGATATGATTGTGAAAGATTGCCTCCAGTCCAGTTTTCACTCACAGTTAGTTCATGAAATTGGTCTTCTGTTGTAGCATCAATGGAAGGTTCAGTCTCGGCATGTTCTTAGAGAAGCTAGCAGCGCTGCGGATTGGTGGTTGGCTAACCATGCGCATGCTTTGCACTTGGTTGTCACTCGTTTATTTATGAAATTAAGAAGCATCCTAATTGTATTTTCTGGGCAAGATTGCTTGATTTTCTGAAATTTATTTATTTTAATAACTATTTTATTGTTGATTTATCACTTTCTTAATCATTCTTCACATGGTTTTTAACCTTTGTTTTTCTAAATATTTTTATATTATATATAAAAAAACCTTTATAATTTATTAGACTTCGATGCTCGAAGACCTAGCCATTGCTTCCATTGAAATTCAATTACTATTGAATCTACAATTTGCTTTACCATGGAGAAGTATTTATATTCTCCGAGGTTCAATTTAAACATTATCATTTATTGGAATACTTCATTGGCAACAAGTAGCTTATAGAAGGGTGGCATACTGTAACAATGATGAAAAGAGAAAACCCTACAAACACCAATGCAAATCTTGTTCTGAAATCAAAAAATGGAAATTCAATTAACTTTCAACTCAGGGGTCGCATTAAGATTTCTAAGAAGAATAAGATTGATATCGAAAACAATTACAAATAAAGGTACCTAAATGAAAAATAGTGAGGCTATGGTGACTAGATTAGCACGAACTATTATTGACATAATTCGGTGCGCAGCAATAACAAATGGACACTTGGAAATTAGCAATGGTCTTTTCTTGATCTCGAATTCCCTTTCCTTTTCAAATCTCAAGTGATGATTGTTAAAGCCAACCTTTCTTAAGCACGCCGTCTCAGGCCTCACAAATTAGGCATGCCGACCCTCCCTTTTGCATTCTTTAATGGAGGAGCAACGTGACTCTGCATTATTGGGGCAGCCCACAGAAAGGAAGTCCTTTGAGCACGAGTAGCTTTATAAACCTTGCATCTCCGACGATTTCTGAGGACTGCACTGCCTAGACATGTGATCCCGGCTCCTTCTGGCATCTGCTCGTTCTGGACATGGACCCGCTCCTGTTCAACACGATTTCTTGCTGTGCTTGGAAAGAATCATGCATGTCATGTCCAATTCAAAGACTTCCCCGATCAAAACCGGGAATTATTGGATCATGGGTTTACATGTGTTTTCTATTCTTTTCTATGCTTTTTTCTATCTTTCCAAGCGAATTCCAAGTTGATAAATGAGTTTACCTAACTTGTAAATTATGGTAGAATTTCTAGCATAAAAAATATATCGATTGTTATATTATATCATAAGCATGTTTATAACCGACCAATAATGATTCATGTGACGAGGTTAGAGGTTACAAGTTCAAATTCAACAAGCTACTTGTGTTATTCCAGGTTTCCTCTTGCTTAAAAAATTATGTGTAATATTAAATTCAACATGTATCGCGGATGTCAGTGTACTGAGGTGGCAAAATACTAATATTGAAAACGATGACACCAAGGTTCCATTCTTAGTTTAGATTATTTATTTATTTATTTATTTTGAATCAAATTTTTATCTGATCAACTTGATTTTGAACGCACTAATCAGATTAGCTCTTTATTTTTATTTATTTTAATAACCGACTCGAGCTATGTTATATCATTGGATTTTTAAGTAAACCTAGATTTAACAATTGTAAAAGGGGTTATTATTTGGTACAAGGAAAGAAAAATTGGTCAAGATCTTGCACTCTTTTTTATGTTTTATTATTTTTTAATCAAGGAAGGAATATCATTAAATACATAGAAAAATAATATCACAGAAGCACTCAATGCATAAAAATAAATACAATGAAGAACAAATACCCAGAACAAAACTGATACAGCTTAACGAAAACAAACAAATTGCAGAGGATTAACCAAGAATCTTGAAACCATGTGCACAAAATGTTCGACAAGACTCTGGATCGAAGTCTCAAAATCCGACACAAGCTTGCTCCCCGAGTAGCCGAGGGCTCCAAACACAATTGTTTCCTCGTGTCCTTGGTGAATTCTACATTGACAAGGCCCTGGATTTCATGGATCTAAATTGAAGTGCTGTGATCATGAGAAGATTGACTTGTAAAATCTTTGAATTTGCTATATTTTATCAAGGGAAATATCCCCTTTTAAAATCTGAAATATTTATCACACACATATATACTTAGTAAAGATATGAAACATGAGAGGAGGACATCACTTGAGCTGGGGATCTTGAAATCGAAGTGTTAGATTAAGATGTTGAATGGACAATTTATTATATATAATTAAATAGTATCTTGTTTTTATATTGACTTTCACATATAATTATGTATTTCAAATCTTGTTTTTAAAAAATAAAAATAACATATATTTATTTTACATGCAAAAAATTCATTTGGTGTGGTTTTAACAAAACTCATATTTTTTTAAAAAATAAAGATCCAATTTTATTGGATCCTTTGTCAATACCTATATTACCAAATTTTAAAAATATTTTTAATTTTTTTTAAATTATAAATATAATTATTTTTAATTTTTTTAATTATAAATATAAAAACTACCACAATACTAATCACATAAAATTTTATATTTTCTTGATCATTGTGTATCGACCATCTTAAACACCTCATATAATAACAATTTTACACTTTTTTCATAGTGAACATCTTGACTGAGAGGGAATGTGTATTTTTGAATTACTTTTTAAGGAGTGGAACAATAGTTTCATCACACATATACACTGCCTGCGTTAAGAAAAAAAAATAACACACACACAAACGATATCAATAGGATTTATGCAACATGCTCGACGTTTTACTCGATTTATTTTTTAACATGAGAGGAGAGTATAATTCAATATCAATCGATAATTTCTCTTACTCTATTGAATCATTTAACTCACGGTCAAAAACCGACCAAAATCAATCACTAAAATTCATGGTTACATCACCTTCAATGACTTCTACACCAAAGTATATATCACTTGCAAGTAGATGATTTAATGGTAAGTGTTAGAGATAGAAAAAGTCTCTTTTCCTTGTAATTTTAGATTTAAATTTTGTGATTATGATACTTGTTTTATATAATTATTAGTTTTAAAATTTATAAGATTAATTATGATATATATAAATTATATATAAATTAAGATATATATAAATTAATCTGAATATTTATATATATAGAAAAGGTATGGATCCCTTGCAGTCAAAATTTTCACATGGCAACTTTACAAAGAAATTATATCTACAACTTTTTTTTATAAGAAAAATCTTGCTATAATCGACAGCTAGTCTCGTGACTTGCTGTTTACAACACTTGTTGAGGGAGAGAGGGGTCAAGAGAGAGGGAGAGAGGGGTCAAGAGAGACTACAAGAATAAAAGATCATGTGAATGGTGATGAGTGATACACATATGAGAAATTTCGTGGTATTTGATGAATGATAAATAATATTTTATTAATTATTTTTTGAATTCATTAAAAAAACAAAAGATCTAATTAGAAAAGATAAATCTAAAGATATTTTTATTATTTTTAATAAGTTATGCATTTTATTCTGTTTTCTCTTTATATTTTTTTATTCCTTCAAGATGAATCCATAAAATGATTAATAGAATAGAACTAATTACTCTCTTACTACTATAAGATTATAATGTTGAAAACTAGTGGAAGGGAAAGAATCCATTCTAATTTATTGGGATTTAACATAATTATAAAAACTAATTTATAATGATGAACCTAAATTTTTTTATAATTTAATTTAAGTTAAATTGAAAAGGGTATTTACTCAATAAAATCAAGCTAATTAGATAAAGATTTTAATAATTTGATGGGCTCGGTTAAAGATAACCAAGTTGATTTTTTTTTTTAAAATAACATGGATTGATCTGATAATTTATAAATTAATCAAATAATCTAAGAAGCTAGATCCTTTTCGAGTCTAACTCCGTTTCGGATTTAATAAAATATGGAAGGAAGGATGGGGTGAGAGCAGGGAGATATTATTCATCTCACGGATATCATGAGAAAACACCTTACCATCTCCATAACTTTTTACTTTCCTTGAATGGATTAACAGAAAAAACAACACCCCAGTGGATCGACAACGATGCCCCCTTCTGGTTCCCTAGGATTGGAACCCTCACCCTTTTTCATTGACCAAAATGCCCTCTATGCTCCAATATCGTGTTGTCGCTATCTTGCGCTTCATACGTGCAGGTCACTACCCCACAGAAACCCCCAATCTCTAGCTTTCCTATCAACCCTTTCACTTTCCCCCAACACCTCTCTCTCTCTCTCTCTCTCTCTCTCTAGGACACTCTCACTTCCCTTCACTGCCACCTCCTCTCTTCACCAATTCCCTTTAAGCTCCAATCCAAAAATCCAAGCACCAACCAGAACCACTTCCTCTCCCCAATTCCCTTTAGCCAAGGTAGACCTTTACAATCAAGAATATTAGTAGTGAAGGAAAAAAAGAAAAAGAAAAAAGAGAGTCCAACTACAAGAACAAGCCCTCTTTTCCACTTCGTATCATGCCCCCATTTCTTGTTGTATATAACAAGAGTTCTTTTTTGGTTGTTGTCAAAGGTGGGCTCGCCAAATTCTAATGGAAAAAGATAGATACAGTAGCATCCACCCATTCTCTGTCCTTTGAAACTAAGCTCGAGTCGGAGAAAAGAATTATTAAAAGAAAGTGTCTATTTGTCTAAGCCAAGAATCAAAATTCTTTCTTTCTCTAGAATTCTAAATGGGAGTTTGGTTAGTGCTCTTGTTCGCTTTGTTAACCTGCACAAATCTCTCAAAATCAGATCCAAGTGATGAAGCGTGTTTAACCCATTTAAGCCAATCCTTAAAGGACCCAGCAAACTTACTTCAAAACTGGACAAGATCAAATTTTGCAAGCCCATGTTCTGGTTTCACTTCTTATCTCCCTGGTGCTACTTGCAACAATGGTCGCATCTACAAGCTTTCTCTGACTAGTCTTTCTCTTCAAGGGTCTCTCTCTCCTTATCTTGCAAACTGTACCAATCTTCAGTCACTAGACCTCTCCTCCAATCAAATTACAGGTCCTATCCCTGCGGATTTGCAATCCTTGGTCAATCTTGCTGTACTCAATCTCTCGTCCAATAGACTGGAAGGGGAGATCCCACCACAGCTTGCAATGTGTGCTTATTTAAATGTTATTGATTTGCACGATAATTTCCTCTCTGGTCAAATCCCGCAACAACTTGGTCTTCTAGTAAGGCTCTCAGCTTTTGATGTGAGCAATAACAAGCTATCAGGGCCAATACCCGCTTCATTAGGGAACAGGAGTGGTAATTTACCAAGATTCAATGCCACTTCTTTTGAGGGAAATAAGGATCTTTATGGCTACCCTTTGCCTCCAATGAAGGCTAAAGGTTTGTCCGTTTTGGCCATTGTTGGGATCGGTTTAGGAAGCGGGTTTGCAAGTTTGGTGCTCAGTTTTACTGGGGTTTGCATCTGGTTGAAGGTTACTGAACAGAAGATGGCCCTTGAAGAAGGCAAGATTAGCAGCCTCATGCCTGATTATTGACGCTAATCAGGTATGTTTAGGTTTAATTCAAGATTACTGCCATCACTCTTTTCAGCTAAAAAGGTTAGAATTTCATGGAGGTGTGGGCTAATGTTTATAATTTTATTTCCTCTCTGATGGGTCATTTTCTTTCGTTTTTGTAGTTAGAAGTTGTATTTTACTGGTTTTTGGAGGGTTTTTGTTCTTTTCTTTTCTCCTTTATTATCCATAACCATTTTGGTTTTCTTTTTAGAAAAAAAAATCCATCAGTATTTTATGGAACAATGTATAAATGAATTCAAATGAGATACAGTGCAGCTTCTTTCACTGATGTGAGTTTGATATTACTGTAATTTTTTCAGTTGTGGTTAATTATATATTATAGTTTTTTTTTTAATTAAGATTCAAAGAAAAAACTTCCAATGTGAACGAAATATAAACCATGTCAAAATTATAGATTTTTTAAAGTTAAAATCTAAAAAAAAATTTCAGTACGGACAAAACATAAACCACAAAAATAGACGCAACTTTAATCTGAATATGGAAATGTAATTATCAATGTGATGTAGTAGTAATCTATATATCAGATGGGTGGGTGTGTCATGTGTTGGTGCACCTTGGAATTTTGTCCGCAGTGGCCAAAATATGCAGAAAAAGAAAAAGAAGGCAGTAGTGGACAGCTTTTTAGTGTCTGCTGCAGAGACTTGGGGGCTAGGCTCTGCATTTATTAAAAATGCTCTTTTACCTACTTCTTTTTCTGGGTTTAGTGCTTTGTGATTGTGAACTAGCAGGGAGACCAGCACCTCCACATGGATTGCAGATTGTCTGGTTTGATTATCTATTTAATTAATTTATTATTATTAACTTTGATGGGCTTCGCTTTGCTTTCTTCTTACTCCAACGTTCTTATCATTTTTGTTGGTCATCATTCCTTTACTTTGGATTGTTTTTCTCCTCGTAGCAGATTCACAAACAGTGAACAAAATTAAGACAAAAAGTGTGAGATTTTTTTCTTCATATATAT